TTCATACAAGGCATTTTGGATTAAGGCTTACAATAATGCTGTCCAGTTGGTAATACTTTCTACACTCTCTCTTTCCCTGTGCACCCACCATCAGACTTCTTGACTATGTCATGTAAAGAAGTGTATGTTTTTCTGGTAGAAAAGAAAAGGCAAGCTCCTCGTCTGAGGTCACATGGTTGTTGAATAGCAGAACTATGAGTCAAAACCTAACCTGTCTTTTTTAAAAGATCTTCTTTAACAGATTGTCCCTCCTAGGAGAAGAATGTGAGGCAAGAGGAGACTGAGATGAAGTAAGGGATGATTCCCATGCAGGAAGACATTCTAGCTTTGGAAGAAGAACATACCTTAACAGTTAAGAAGCCAAACATTCCTCAGAAAGGCCTCAAAGGGAAAACCCCAACTGCTAAAAGTATCAGCAGTAATGACTATTGTTGGGAAATAAGTGGAGTGACTCAAACTGAGTAACCAGACCATTAGGGCATAGACCCATGTAAGCCTGGCTGTTTATCTAGGCCCTAGATAAACCCTAGATTCTAAGATTTCCCAGACAGGAGGCATCCCACACCATAGCTCCATTCCATCTGTGTTATTAATATTGCTTTTTTATCAACCCACTTTTTCACACAGTTTTGTTCTAAGCAATAATACACATGAAACAATAGATTTGTTACATTATTTGTTAACATAAAAATTAACACTTAATATTTATCTGTACTTCATAACATGTCACCTCACAACACCAGTTGCACCCATTTAATACATTTACAAACAGCTTTATCTTGAGCTTTAACATGAAAATTTATACCTGAAACAATGCTTTAAGAGAAGAATAAAAGACACAAGAACTGTAGGAAAAAATGAAGTACAAGGCAAAATATTTGGTCATAATTATCCAACTCTGTTAAAAAAAAAAAGAGGCTAAACCAAGCAGGCTCTATATTCCATCATTGCAGAAGTGTTTCTAATTGCTTGATAGACAACTTGTGGTATTTTTCATAGAGTTAATGAAAGAATTCTATGACCATTTATTTCTGTTTGCCCTGATTCCATGAGTAAAGTATGTTGAAAAGCTGCCTCTAGTGTGGTGTGCACCTGAAACTAATATAATACTGTACGCCAACTGCAATTGAAACTTTTGTTAATTTTTAAAAACCTCATTCCTTCTGTCTCAGTTTAGCAAAGGTCCCTGAGAAATAGAGACCAATAACTGACCCATGTCAAGTCCACCTAAGTTGGACTCGGTGAAAAGGAAGAAAATGAAAACTTCTTTGGTAACTTTAGCTCACTATCCATCCCCAGTGTATCAAAGAGCTTTCAAAGACCTAGACAGAAGTAAAATTTTTCTCAATACATATGGTAGTTACATTCCCAGAAAATATTTTGTTTTAAAAATATGAAAAATATTCCGGTCAAGATGGTGGTTAGGTAAATGCGCTATAGCGTCCTCCCACAACCACATCAAAGTTACAACTAAACTACTGAACAACCATTATTCAAAACCGCATGAAATCAAGCTGAATGGAAGTCCTACAAATACGGAAGAAGCAGCCACATCAAGACTGGTAGGAGGGGCGGAGATGGTCGGGGTGGTCCCACACCCACATGTGTCGGATAAAAATCAGGAGGATTCCTCGGCTGGGAAGGTCCTCCCTGAGGACTGAGGGGTCCCCGTCCCACACCAGGTGCCCCGCTCAGGGTTCCAGTGCCAGGAAGAGAAGTCCCCATAACTTCTGGCTGGAAAAACAAGTGGGAACTGAGGCTGCTGGAGCACCAGGCAGCTCCTCTTAAAGGGCCCGCTCAAGGACTTATCGGACTCTCTCCCTCTAAGCTTGGAGGGGAGGCAGCTCGAGGGGCACCAGAGACATACAGGAAAGAACTGAGCTGTTTGGCACTGGAGCGAGGGCTGGAGAAGGGGCTTTCTCCAGGACAGACGTGCTGTCAGAGGCCTTTGTTCCTTTGGTGAGCCCTTCCCTGGGGCAGCAGACAGTCGCCATGTCTGGGACTCCAGCAACCTGGCTCACACTGGTAGCCCCACCCTGGTGACTCCCTGAGGCCCTGCCCCACCCAACTTTCAGGCCCACCCAAGCTGTTGCCAGTTGCTTAACCATAGGATTGGCCTGTCTTGGATCCTGCTTCAGGTTTTGCTAAATTCTTTAAAACAAGCAGCATCTGGTCTCAGCTAGCCCCATGCCTCGCGTTAAGTAATACATAGAAACACACACTGGGAGGCAGCCAAAATGAGGAGACAAAGAAACATGAGGATGAAAGAACAGAACAAAACCCCAGGAAAAGAACAAAGCCCCAGGAAAAGAACTAAGCGAAATGGAGATAAGCAACCTAACAGATGCTGAGTTCAAAATACTGCTTATAAGGATGCTCAGTGAACTTAGTGAGAACCTCAGTGAACTTAGTGAGGGCCTCAAAAGCATAAAAAAGGACCAGTCAGAAATGAAGGATGCACAGTCAGAAATGAAGGAGGCACTAACTGAAATAAAGAATAATTTACACAGATTCAATAGTAGAGTAGATAAGCCAAAAAGCAAACCATCAATTTGGAATATAAGGAAACAAAAAACACCCAATCAGAACAGCAAAAAGAAAAAAGAATCCAAAAAAATGAGGAGAGTATAAGGAGCCTCTGGGACAATTTCAAGCGTGCCAACATTTGCATCTTGGGGGTGCCAGAAGGAGAAGAGAGAGAACAAGAAATCGAAAACCTCTTTGAAACAATAATGGCAGAAAACTTCCCTAACTTGGTGAAAGAAACAGACATACAAGTCCAGGAAGCACAGAGAGTCCCAACCAAGATGAACCCCAAGAGGCCCACACCAAGACACATCATCATCAAAATGAAAAAGGTTCGCCCTGGCCCTGGCCGGTTTGGCTCAGCGGTTAGAGCGTCGGCCTGTGGTCCGGAGAGACCCGGGTTCGGTTCCCACAAACGGCACGTACTTCGGTTGCAGTTTGTCCCTGGCCCTGGTTGGTTGTGCAGGTGGCAGCCACTCGAAATGTCCCTTCACATCGATGTCTTCTCTCTCTCTCTCTCTCTCTCTCTCCCTCCCACTCTATCTGTACAAAAAATGGAAAAATGTCCTCGGGTGAGGATAAAAAAATAAAATAAATAAATAAATATATAAAAAGGTTGCCCTGGCCGGTTTGGCTCAGCCGTTAGAGCATCGGCCTGCGGTCCGGAGAGACCCGGGTTCGGTTCCCGCTAAGGGCATGTACCTCGGTTGCAGTTTGTCCCCGGCCCTGGTTGGTTGTGCAGGTGGCAGCCACTCGATGTGTCCCTTTCACATCGATGTTTCTCTCTCTCTCTGTTCCTCTCTCCCCCCCCCCCACTCTATCTGAACAAAGAATGGAAAAATGTCCTCGAGTGAGTATGATAAAAAAAAAAAAAAATGAAAAAGGTTCAAGACAAAGAGAGAATCTTAAAAGCAGCAAGAGAAAAGCAGATAATTACCTACAAGGGAGTTCCCATAAGGCTGTCAGCTGATTTCTCAAAAAAAACTGCAGGCCAGAAGGGAGTGGTAAGAAATATTCAGAGTGATGAAAAGCAAGAACCTACAACCAAGATTACTCTATCCTGCAAAGCTGTCATTTAGAATCGATGGCCATATAAAGACTTTCCCAGACAAGAAAAAGTTAAATGAGTTCATCACCACCAAACCGTTACTATATGAAATGTCAAAGGGTCTTTTTGAAGAAAAAGATTAAATATATGAACAAACAAAATGGCAATGAATATATATCTATTGACAATCAAATCTACAAACAAAATGAACAGGCAGAACAGAAACATTCTCATAGATACAGAGAACATTTTGTTGGTTGCCAGATGGGAGGGGGGTTGGAGGAATGGGCGAAAAAGGTGAAGGGATTAAGAAGTACAAATTGGTTGCTAGACTGACAAACCTCAAAGGGAAGAGGGTTGGGGGGGGTGGGAAGAAATAAACCAAAAAACTTATATGTAACCAATGGACACAGACAACAGTGTGGGAAAAGGCGGGCGGGGGACGGGAGTAGGGAGGAGGGTTTCAATGGGGGGAAAATGAGGAATATCTGTAATACATTCAACAATAAAAATTAAAAATATATGAAAAATATAATGGAATTGGGTGGATGCTTAGATAATTATAAGCTATTTTCCCATCCACATCCAAGAGGAGAGTCATAAGTTGTAGGATGTGCACTAATTCTTCATTTTTCAGAACTTTTCTACACAGTGTATATCTGTACACTGAGCACAACTGGCCCCCTCTCCAATCATTATAGTTACCAAAAATACCTCTAGAAATTTCGAAGCCACAAAGTCACTGAAAGTAACTGGTCTAAAATTTTATAAAAATTTGTGTAAAATTACTTTTTCTGTGCCATTATGTGATTAAATAGGAATAGCTCAGAATGCATTTTAGCCACATCCTCACATCCTACCGGTGTATATTTGATTTCATAAGTCTTTGTTTGTTCTTAAGGGACTCTAACAATGTTCAACTATTCATTCATTCAGCATACACATTCCAAGTTTTATGATATGCCTGGCCCTACTCTAAGCACTGGAAAAGCAAATTATGAATAAAGACAATTTGTGTCTTCCAGAGCTCCAATCACAAGACTGGAAGCTCACGGGTGACTATAATACACAACAATATGTCAGGATCATAGGATTTTTTGAGACCAAAATGACTAACACAAACAAAAGGCCCTGTAACACAATGAAGTTAGTTCCTTTCCATTCCCTCTTGAATGATTATAAAACTGGCAAGAAAGATTCCAAGGAAGTCTCTGCAAGGCCTCCCTGCAATAGCCCTTCTGAGTGAGGCCCAACTACTGACCCACTCCACCTTCCATACCTGTGCCAATGGCAGGGTGATATATTTAGAGCAACCCTCAGAAAGCAATTACCTCAAATGCATTACCGCAGCCTTTCCTATATTTTCTTATTTCATTCCAGAAACTTGATCAAGGAGACCAAGATCTGCTTTTGTTTAATGGCCTTCAGAGAAGATATGTAGGAGGACTCACAGAAGAATAAGGCAGACCTAAGAGACTAGGGAGAGACCAGCACATCAACTGTCATTGGAATTCAGTTACTTAGCTTTCTCCATTCATCACAAGTAAATTAATCTGCACCGTGTTATTACAACAGTCCTTTAAGTGGTACCCACAAGCAATGTGTGTTGTCATTCCCATAGAAAGCTACTGCATTACAAAATCCATGTGAATGAAGATATTGACGGTTGGCATTGCCTTATTAGCAGGTATCATCACTGAGTAGGCAAACAATGCAAGAGTGCCGAGGCTGAAGAAATTGCAAATACTGTACATTAAGATGGCTTTGAGCAACCCCGTGGCCAGTGTTCTTGACAGTTGTTCTTGCCACAATGCAGAAGACTTTTTTCTGGGACCATATCTCACAATGTCCCTTGATTATAAATAATGGCATAATGAGATTAGCTGATAATTCAGTGGCTGCTGTGACACTGATGTGGTGATTAAACTAATGAAATAAGAGTTCATATTTAGCCCTGGATGATTTGGCTCAGCAGTTAGAGCATTGGCCTGCGGTCCAGAGAGACCCAGGTTCGGTTCCTGCTAAGGGCACATACCTCGATTGCAGTTTGTCCCCGGCCCTGGTTGGTTGTGCGGGTGGCATCCACTCAATATGTCCCTTTCATGTCAATGTCTCTCTCTCTCTCTCTCTCTCTCTCTCTCTCTCTCTCTCTCTTCTCTATCCCTCCCACCCTATCTGAACAAAAAATGGAAAAATGTCCTCGGGTGAGGATTTAAAAAAAAAATTCATATTTAGCAGTCTTTTGATACTAAAGACAAAATCATGCTGACAATTCAGTGTCATTTCACTATAGCATGGGTTTGTATTGATTCCTGTTTCAAATAAACAGGTCCTCAGCCCAAGATTTTTCTGTTGATTAGATCATTTGGATTTAATTTGGAGGCAATGGAGGGCAGTTTTAAAAAATTTTTTTTATCCTCACCCGAGGACACTCTTCCATATTTTGTTCAGATAGAGTGGGAGGGAGAGAGAGAGAGAGAAACATCGACGTGAAAGGGACACATCGAGTGGTTGCCACCCGCACAGCCCAACCAGGGCCGGGGACAAACTGCAACGAAGGCATGCGCCCTTAGCGGGAACCGAACCCAGGTCTCTCGGGACCTCAGGCCGATGCTCTAACCGCTGAGCCAAACCAGCCAGGGCCAGTTTAAAATTTGAAGATGGAACCTATAGTAGAGACTATCAAAAAATGTGACTGGGGATGTGCTCTGAATACAATTTCTTCATGAATACCCCTTCCATTTCTCACATTCCAGAATACATATTTTATTATAAACATAACATTAAAGCTAGAAAATAAGCCTAACAAATAGGTTATCCTGGATGACTGTTCCTGTTGCAGAGATGAAGAAACAGAGACAAGAAGAAAAGAACTTAGCCTAAATATGCTGTGTACCCCACCCAGCTCCCTCTAAGAGGCAGCCAGGAATAAATGGGAACTCGGGCTTTTAAGGGAGACACTCCTGGTTCTGCCACTACTGTCTGTTAACTATGTGGGTCTCTGTTTGTTCATCTTTAAAATGAAGATACTAATATCTACCTTGTATGTTGTTGTGAGAGTTAAATGAGTCAATTTCACTAAAGGTCTTACCCCACAGCAGTTGCTTAAAAATGAGAGCTTACAGTTTGTTCTAAAATGTTATATTTTCTAAACTACATTAGTTGTCCTTACTTGTATCTAAATTTATCTAACACATATAAACAGGTATTAATTTTCACTCTCTCCAGTAATAAAAGACCAGAACTTTGAAACAATAATGCTGACTTCTATGGCAGAGATGGTACTGGAAATGTTATAAGGAAAACATTCTATTGATCATGTTATATTCTAAAAAATAATCCTCTCTCAGGCTTCCTTCGGCCAATAACACACATGGGCAACTGGGAGATTTGGTGTTGCCAACCCACAGCTCCCCCCACCCACCCCACACCAGCGGGAGCTTCAGTGTGCCAGGGCCTGGGAACACTGGTAGTGCATGGGAGTGAGCTAGTCACCAGCTAAATACACAGGGCTTATTGTTGCTGTTTTGGTCCAGGATACACATTCCAGCTTGTTTATAGCAGTAAAAGATTGGAACAAACTGGAAGGGTGTTACTGCCCCTGAGGTAACAAGGAGACAGAGAGCTTGTAGGACCAGTTCACTGCAGAAGGGTAACAATCATGTGCTATGGAAGCTGATCTGTTATGAGATATTTAAATCTTACGAGTCTATTTCTTGTTTGTTCTCCTCAGGGCTCAAAAAGGCTTTTAGAAGATCAAAGCTGGTCTCAACCTTGCTAAGTAGAACCAAGAGGGAAAGATCTGGTGCCCTCCGGCCTCGCCGAAGCAAGCAGCACAGCGCCCTCTGGAGGAGAAGAGGGGGTGCAACCAGCCAGGATCAAGATCAGCGCCTTCTGGGGTTGCTTTATTTACAGTAGCTCCAGAACAAATTGTCTCCATAACTCAGGGAGCACCACCCGAGGGCGGGACCAAGGCCCCCCAAGTAGATACCACCCCCACTCCCATCCCACGCTCTACGCGCCTAACAAAGATTCCTCAAGTGAAAGGGGGAATAAGAAAAAGCTGGAAAACAGGCAAGTCAATTTAGGATGTGATAAGGGCGCTGCACTATTCAGGCAAGAAGGGCGATTTCGCGTGGAGGAGACAGAGTGGCTCTTCCCCGTAGTCCGCCTCTTCTAAGACCTAGTAGGGAGACCTCATCTTATCCCAAAGGATCTTTGATCCTCACCTAGTTTCTCCTCAGTACAGTAATTGCCATAACTTACATTTGTAAAGTGCTTTAGGGATTACAAAACTTTTTTTTCATCTGATTCTCAACACAGCCTTGTGAGTTAAGGCAAGTATTTTTACGATCCCGTTTTATAAAGAGATAACTGACTGTCAGAAAGTTTCAATGAGCTGCCCAAAGTCACACAGCTAAGTGAGAAGCAGCCTAGAATATTGGCAGTTCCTTCATATTATCCATAAAAATAAAGTCCCCCACCATTAGAAACCTGCTTCATGCTGCAAACTAAGAAAGCATCACCAGCCTTCTCCTCCTCTTGGACTCACTTTAGCCAATTTATAACCACCTCACTTGGGCCCTAACCTACTCTTGCCTTCCCACTCTTCTCCCTAGTACCACAGAAGAGTTACCACGGCTACCTCTCCCCCTCCACTGAGAACCCTCATATTCACAGTCTTGAGGTCCCTTTACTAGGCCCTGGGCTGAGGATCCCACAGAGTTAGAGTTGGGGATTCTGCATCAGGAGAGGGGTGAAGTACCCCTACTCCTAAGACACATTATAGTGCCCAGCTGTAGGGAGGAACTGGATGTAGTGGGGCTGAGAAGGGTACTACCCCCTTATCTTCCTGGGATGAAAGCGGAGACTTTCAGTACTGACACTCAAAGAGGACCTCGAGCAATGTGTGGGGAGACTGCACAGCAAGGGCCTAGTGGTCCTTGGGGAAATCAGACCCATGCATGGCCTGGAGGATGAAAAGCAGCAAATGGAAGGCAGTCCTGACTCCTGGGCTCCCTCAAATAACTGCCTCCACTCCCTGAGCCTCCTTTTTGCTGCAGGTCATATGGGCAAGGAGTCTCATTATTCCCCTTTAGCCAGAAGAGCAGTGGCTAAGGAAGAAGAGAGTCTAAGTAGAAGGCATAAATCCTACACCAGTTTCCATCCTGAGGGCTCTCCCCAAGCCCTGCTCCCCCTAAGTAGCCCTGGGGTGCTCTAACTTAAAGCCAGTATATTGAAGAGCCTGGGGTAAATAGTATTCATTGTTTCCCAGTGAGGAAGAGGTTTCTGAAAGTTGGCTGGAAGAGGGCCTGAGGGGCCCTTGGGTGCAGGATAGAGAGGAAGAGCAGGAGCTGAGATCTGAGGGAAAGAATGGGTGCTGCTTAGATGGCCTCTCTCATACTGCTCCCCACCCCAGCTTCCATGAAGAAAACCACTAACACCCTAGTATTCTTCTCCTTCCACTACCAGAGCTAGAGCTTTGGTCTCAAGATTTTTTGCCACAGTCCACACTCAGGAACAGCTCTCCAAATGCCTCACTAGCCATATGCACTATAGCCTGGATCACCCCGGGACTCGCCATAGTCCTTGCTTTTCTTTCAGGGCTGACCACTCAGCCCTGCCTAGCCTCCTTCCTCTTGGGTTCAGGGCTTCCCCTGTGATTCTGACCTCATTCTGATCTGCCACAAGTCCCTAAACAGGAATCATTGTCCCTCATCTGGAAAACTGAAGTAAAAAGATACGTATTCACTTACGATGCAGGATCTATAGTACATGCTAAGTAAATCTTTTTTTTTTTAATATTACCCTTTTTAAAACTTTTTTCTTTATTGATTTTAGGGAGAGAGAAAGGGAGAGGGGGAAAGAGACAGAAACATCAATGAGAGAGAACATCAACTGGCCGCCTCCTGCATGCCCCCCTCTGGGGATTTGGCCCACAACCTGGGCATGTGCCCTGACTGGGAATCGAACCAGCAACCTCTTGGTGCATGGGTGACACCCAACCACTGAGCCACACCAGCCAGGTGCTAAGCAAATCTTTACAGAATGAAATGGGGCTGTCCTGGTGAAAGGAAAGTTCCATCTAGCTCTTACAACACGGCAGGGTGATGACAGGGCTTCTATTTGTAGAGCTCTCTGGAGTCTCCCAGATCCCTGCTCTAGTGTTTACATGGTTCAACACTAGAGAGTGCTTTCTCACATGTGCTGCTTACCTGAATGCCTTTGGGACTAATGGGGTCAATGCAACTGTGACCAGTTCAACTCGTTCTGTTTTTGAAAGAGATGGAATATAAAAACCAATTATATGTTGACTCCTCTTAGTGTTGCAAAACTTCTCCTTTCCCAAGGCCTTTCTTTTAACTTTTCCTGTAGGTTATAAGTCCTAAGCTATCAGTTATGTCTGTAGACCTTCTCTAGCTCTTCTAAAAGATCCTCCCACCTCACTCTTGGAAATGCTGGTGAACAGGAACAAGTCCATTTCTCTCTGGACACAATTAGAGTATGTCACCATCACTTTGTCCTATACTCTGGCCTAACTCTCCCCTCTGCCAAAGTAACCCTGTGCTTGTCAGATGAAGATGCCATGGAAAATAGAAGGGATCATACAGGTGCTCCATGCCAGACTACAACTGCCAATCTCTCCCACCCAGAAAGCCATCTCTGCTTCTTATTAGGGGCTCTGGGTCATGAATTTCAGCATGGTGGTAGAGACCCAGCAAGCACAGCTCATGCTTGCCCATTGCTACCACAGAGGAGTTTGTGGCTAACATGGCATGATTTACCAATGTCTGTCCCAAGGAAGGAAAGAGATGACTTTGTACTGCTAGACAGAAAATAAAGAGTCAAGGGAAAAAAACCAAATGTGTGAGGTATTTTTCTAAAGTCATTCTGGAGAATGGTTGAATAAGTTCCAGAAATCCCTTCCAGGCCTACTATCTAGCCATGGTGAACCATGGACAGTCACCTCCAGGTCTTATTCTGGCTCTGCCTGGAACATCCATCCCCACTTGGTCTTCTAGGGGATTTATTATTTATCATTTCAGATTCAATTTGGTGTCATCTCCTGGAGGAAACCTTTCCTGTTTCCTGCCACACACTCCCTAAACCTGCAGTTAGCACCCCATCTTCCCTTCTCTCCTCATTTTTGTTTTATTATCATCATCTAATTCGGTGGTTCTCAACCTTCCTAATGCCATGACCCTTTAATACAGTTCCTCATGTTGTGGTGACCCCCAACCATAAAATTATTTTCGTTGCTACTTCATAACTGTAGTTTTGCTACTGTTATAAATCGTCATCGGAAACATGTGTTTTCCAATGGTCTTAGGCGACCCCTGTGAAAGGGTCGTTTGACCCCCAAAGGGGTCGCAACCCACAGGTTAAGAACTGCTGATCTAATCACAGGTGACTGTCAGTTTCTGAAGGGCACAATCTATAACATCAGTCTCTGATGTTTCTGCCTAGAATACTGTCATATGGAAAAGACTCTGTAAATGTTTATAGAATAGCAAAAAATTGGATCAATGGATCAAAGGACACAAACATCTTTTGGGCTCTTGACATATTACAAACTGCCTTCCAAAAAGTTTGCATCTATTTACAGTGCTGTCTGCAGTATAGGTCTCACTGCTGTTTATTAAGAGAAACTGTGTCCTAACATTTTAATATGTATTTCTTTACTAGTGAGGTTAAATAAGTTCCCACAGTTCATTTCACTAATTATAATCCTGTTGGGGGAAAGCCCCAGTCTAAATTCAGGATAGATTCCCAAGAGCTGATACATCACCTTATTTAAATTCATAAGAGCTTTAATAGGAGGAACCTACATACACAGGCAAAGCAGCTGCTTGTTCCCAGTGGTGGTGAGCCAGGAATAAATCCACACCCTCCCTAACAGATCTCTTTTTATAGGGGTTTAATAGTAAAACCATATGGTGGGTAGTCACGTAGACCACCAGAAAGAACAATGCATTTCTAAATTAACAGATAACATCAGGCAACTCTCCACTCTCTATACATGCATTCCGGTTTTTTGGGTAGTCAGCCAAACCTGAGGCTACAGAGAGTTAAACAGTCACAGAAGGTTAAACAGAGTCCAACATTTTCCAGATGCCTTTTCTACTGGAGACATATTGCATCACTGAGCTCCCCTACAAATCGTCTATCATGAATTGTCTCTTTATATCCCAATAATAATTTTCTTACAGCTTGCCAAGGCTACAACCAAATTTCTTTCTCCCCCCCAAGCACATAGTTAAATGGAGGAGTTTTTTTCCTAAATTCTGTAGATCCATATCAGTGTAGCCCAAAAGGCAGTTTCCAACCTAAATTTGCTACAAGGCCTAAGGCAGTTAAGATTCTCCACATTACAGATGCTATTTTGTTGATAGGAGCTGCGGATAAGAAATATCAGACAGTTTTCAACAGATACCTAAATGTGCTGGAAAAGTGCAAGTCTGTCAAAATTATCTTTCTCTCTTATTTCTTGAAACTTGCCAAGTCTGTTTTCTAGGCTTTCTCCCCTTAAACCTCTAGGTAGAGATGGAAAGCAGGAGTAGGAGGCAAGTGGTATTAACAAAGCACAGCTCAAGGACACAGCCACACTGAGACCTTGTTAGCCAGCTTTGCAGTCAGTTGGTTAAACTGGGATACAAATTTGAAAGACAAAGTATTCTTCTCTAAGAAGGGTGACCTGAGATCCTATACTATCTCTGTACCTCCCTGGTATGGGCCTCCCCATTTCCTTGGACAGTTATGTAAAGAGTGTACATTATTTTACCACAGTGACAATGACTTTTCACAGTACATACTACATGACATTTGGAAAAATTTATAGATGCTATCTCATGCCACACAGTTTGGCTTGGCACAATCTCCATTCAGGCTTCCAAGCCTACTGCAGTTCATTTTACAGTTCGCATGTACTGCCAATTCCCATTTAGGCCAGAGCTACTGATCTCTGAAAACGCAGGTTCTTACAATCTGACTCTAGACCCAGACTTCATGGCTTAAGTAGAAACTCTTTATGTCCATACAAAAGCAGATTAAGATTTTAACTGTTTTGTTTGGAGAACATTTCTAAATGTTGGTCTCTCCATGGTCAATTCTAAACTTCTCCTGTCCTAAAAGCTTTTTCCCTCATCTGTACTCTAACAAAACTCTTCTTTCAAATTTACCAACTGAAGTCCAGGGCCACCTGTCATTACTTGAGCTAAATTAAGCAGAAATAGGATTGAATCATATATGAGCGTTTATTCCAATAATGCCGGCAGTATGAGAGAGCAGCAAGTCATCCTGGAAATTCTGCTCTAACATTCCCTCTTAGTCAGCTGATTATACAGGATAAGTAAGAAAAGGGCTGCGTGCAAGGAGGGAAGGGGAGCTTGGTAAGGGCTATAGGCTTTGTGGTCCTTGTGTCTCCTTCCAGGATCTTGAAGTCCAATAACAACGTAGTTAATTTTCTATGATATTAAAATAACTCCAACTGTTCCTGGGACCACAGAATGATCAGCATTCCTGAAACAACTCCTGGAGGAGGTCAGGGCCCAAGTAGAGCAACTAAGTAAAAGTGTTTCTTGTCCTTTGTTTGTTCTCAAATTGTATTTTCTTTTCTGAGTAATGGACCCATCTGGGTTTTGAGGCATCTTACCTTTTTTACAGCCCTGTCTGTCTTCTTTCAGCACATCCTCCAGTTTCCCAGGGTCTGTAAGAAAATATCTTTTTATCTATAGTCAGTAAGGTGAATAATCATTAAACAACTGTGGTTCTATTCCTACTGCACATCCTTGCCACTATCACAACTCTATGACATCCAGAGAGCTATATCCCTTTCAGGCACTCATCCCATTCACACAAAATATATTTGATCAGATGCTTCTCAGTAACTTCCTGTGACTACCTGACTTTGTCTAAGTGCTGATGATTCAGCTAGAACTGCCCTTAGATCACAGAAAGAGGGCCCCTTCCCTGGGCCTCACATATAAGAAAACCCCACATGTAACTAACACAAATATATAAAATAATAAATTAAAGAATACAGAGATTTCTCTGTCTCTTGGGATCCAGTGTAATTCATAATCCTCACCTCAGCTTACATGACTGGCATGGCTCTAATTCAAGGAAAACATGTTTCCATATCTCTTGCCCAGATCCTTAAAAGGTGACTACATCTAAGTGACAAGATTGCTTGTGCATGGTGCCTCTGCCAGGATAGCAGACATACACTGCTTCCAAGTACTGAATGGATCTGGGCAGCAGAATCATATAGATAAAAGGAAAAGACTGACTTATCAAATTCTTTCTCTCAGATAGCATGACTGCAATGTATTTTTATATTATGATGCATCAGGGTGCCAAGCATCTACTTTCTTCTTTCCCTTCGTGTTCCAGTGCACAGTTCCGAAGGTACTCACAAATTAACACACTATTTCCAAAGTTGTACATGGCAGCTGAGGCAGATTTTGAAATATTCAACACCTTCTTTACTCTTAAATTTGTCTATATGTAGGTTTGGACGACATGCGTGAAGCTTGATACTAACTCTTTATAATACTCTATGCATCTGAATACTGCTTTAAGAAGTGGTAAAATCGCAGCATAAGTTATAGCGTTTTGTATGATAAAATTAAAATGATACACAATATTTACTATGATCATTTTAACTCAACATATTGGGGGCTACAACAAATGAGGTAACACTATGTAGAAGTGCTTGCCACAGCATCTGGAACATAATGATCTGTGTGTTAGCTATTTACCTAAGGGGAATGGTTTAATGTGAAGAGAAACTAACATGTAGAAAACTATTACGTTTTTAACTGTTCCTTGTTGTTCTCTTCAGTCGCCTAAATCTGGCCTCTGTCTCATCTTCCCGTTACTGCATTCTCTCGGGGATGGGGTGCGGGGAGACCAAGCCTGCGGGGCTCTCCGGTGGGGAAAATCACGGGAACCCGGCAGATAACACGCCGGGAAAGTCCGCCGGTCCACCGAGCATCCCTCCAGGCCCCAAGAAGGAGCCCGCCCCGGGCTTTGGGACGCGGAGACCAGTCCCAACCCGACCACTTCGCTTCCGGGTGATTTACGTGTCGACTTGTTTATTGGCTATTCGCAAGCACTCGCTCTCCTCATTGGCTGATACTGAGCGAGCCGTCACCCGCCGACGGAGCGCGCTGCTGCGCGTGAAACTGAGGGTCACCGGTACCTACATTTCCGTTTCCGGTTCGCCTCCGGAGCCATGGCGACGACGAGGGCTCCGAGGTATCTGTTGGCGTTGGGCAGATGGCGCCGCGGCGTCGGAGTAGCACCCCAGTCCCGGGTGAGTGCCTGCTGTGTGTGCCTGCCCTCGGAGAGCCGGTGGGGCTCCGCAACAGCTGGGGCGCCCTCGGCCGCGCCTCCCTGAGCGAGCGCCCGCAGCCTTCCCTTCGGCCCCGCAAGCAGCTTTTCTTTCCTGGGCTGCAGGCTCTCGCCGCCCTTGTGCCCGGCGTCTCCCAGGTGGATAACAAGTCCGATTTTCTGGGGAAGAGGCCCCATCGCCGGCACCCCGGCATCCTGCAGCTGCCGCGCGTGCGGCTGCCTCAAGCGCTGGCTGACGCCGCGCAGTTCGTGCTGCTGGGTGAGTAACGGTGGGGAAGGGAAGCTCGAGGAGAAGCGGGGACGGTGCCCGCAAACAGCTGATGCCGCGTTTCTCTACGGCCCACAGAGCGTGCAATGCCTAGTGTGGAGAAGCAGGTGCAAGCACTGACCAATTATCTCTGGAGCCGGCATTTACCCGTAGAGCCCGAGGAGTTGCAAAGACGGGCTGTACATCTTGAGAAAAAATTCCGGGAAAACCCAGGTAGGGTTTAAGAATGTTTAAAGAGTAGGTCAAGTCGAAATAGCAGTGAGGAATGAAGAGCAAGAAATAATTTTAGTCTCTCAAATAGATAGTACGGTTTCTTACTTGACTTTCTGAACAGAGCAGTTATTACGGGGATGCCTCACTAAGAGAAGATTATTTCAGAGATTGCTCTGAGGGCTTTGGTGAAAGTCAACCAGTGTTACGTTATTTTTTCCTCCGAAACCACTAGATTAGGACAGCCTAAGTTTGTATTCAACCGAAATAAGGTCCCTGTATGGTTCCCTGTCCAGTGCTGAAACCTCCTTCAGGAATAGAGCAATAAGTATAACCCTGGCCGGTTTGGCTCAGCTGGTTAGGGAGAGCGTCGGCCTGTGGACCAAGGAGTTGAGGGTTCGATTCCAGTCAAGGTCATGTATTTCGATTTCAGTTTGGTCCTCCGCCCTGGTTGGACTCAAGCAGGAGCCCACCAATCGATGTGTCTCTCTCACATTGATGTTTCTCTCTCTCTCTCTCTCTCTCTCTCCCTTCCACTCTATCTGAAGATAAATGGAAAAATATCCTCAGATGAAGATTTAAAAAAATAAATAAGTATAACTTGTCAAGTTTTTCTCATTATGAGCTCCTTCATGTTACTACAGACCTACCTTTTATACATCTTCTATTCTCTGTACTTCTCACAGTACCTGGCCCATGATAGGCACCCAGTGGATAAAGTAGTACTGAACTGAACACAATCATGAGACTTAGGATTTCCGAGTCCTGTTTCTCCCTGTAGAAACGAGACAACACAATCTTAAGTTTTGGGAAGAGAGGAAATCCACAAAGTACTGTCCTTATACTATAGTTTTTTTTTTTAAATCCTCACTTGAGGATATGTTTATTGATTTTAAAGAGAGAGAGGAAGGAACAGAGAAACATTGATTGGTTGCCTTCCATTCACCCCTGACTAGGGATCAAACCCACAACCTAAGTTTTTGCCCTGACCAGGAATCGAACCCGCAGCTTTTTTGGTGTACAGGACAATGCTCCAACCAACTGAGCCACCCAGCCAAGGCTCCTTCAAATCTTTACCACACTTCCCTTCAATATAGAACAAAACCTGTGGGGTGGGATGGATTGAGTTTAATAAACTATTGTTAGAGACAAAATACTGTCTGATACACTCTGGTGCTAGTGGAGGTGGTCATTCCTATTCTTACCTGAAATTTTTCTCTAGGTTTGGCTTCTCTCTTAAAGTTTAAGACTTCCCAGGTGGGAGTTAGGGAGGAATGGGCAGGTAATATATTCAGATATTGGATTTGAGCCCTATTCTTACTAGGTCCTCACTTCCAGTCCTTGTTCTCACCCCAGATTTATCTCAGACAGAGGAGAAACTTCGTGGAGCAGTGCTGCATGCCCTGCGTAAAACTACCTACCATTGGCAAGAACTGAGGTGAGGGGGATTACAGGGACTGCAGAAGAAAGAAAAGTTTAACTTTTGAAAGAGAATTGGACAAATACAATTACATAATTCTGTGTTTCAAAAAGCAACCTGGTTTGTAAGGCTCCCCAGGACTCTTCTGTGTTACAAAGTGAGATTTCGTTTTCTAAAAATCTAGAGGTAGCTATGGGATAGAGGTTATTTCTTAGTGGAAATGACTGTCTGATTTTTCTGGCAGCTACAATGAAGGACTGAGTTTGGTGTATATGGCAGCAAGACTGGACGGTGGCTTTGCAGCAGTCTCCAGGGCATTCCATGAGGTGAAAGTCCTACAACTTCCAACCTAAAGTCTTTTCCATCAGTTCCCCTATTCGTAAAGTAGTCTTCTGGGGTAGGATTCTTGGGACATTTCATGTGCATTTTTTTAAGAGGCTCTCTTTAGCTTCTGAAAGGATACTGTGACCCAGGAAAGGTTTAAAGTCATTGTGTTAGGAACTTCCTATTATAGAAAGTACTTATATTGAATCTCAAAATACAGTCACATCTCATACCCTCTGTCTTGGTCTCCTAATTCATATTTAACAAGGCCCTAAACAAGTGTCTACTTACCCTACTGTGGGATATTATATATTTCTTCAGATCCAGACTCAGCTTCCAGAGTTCCAACCACAAACCCTGATGGACTTTGGATCAGGTACTGGTTCTGTCACCTGGTGAGTATCTTTCCTTCTCTCTACCCATTCTAGCTCTAGAGTGCCATGCTTACACCACTCCAATATCAAGAGATTGGGAAACCAGAAGAATAGGGAAGTTGATATATGAATGTTTCTTTCCTAAGAATAGGCAAGGCATGCGAAGGTACATAGATTAGGCCAGAACTTAAATGTCAAGTGAAAAAAGACCCATGTTCAGAAAGATTAAAAAAAAGGAAAGGAATTTAGTGTAGGTCCTAAGTTTTATATATCATAAAAAAAATTTTTTTCCTATAAGTAATTTTTTTAGTCTGAGTGTTTTGTTTAAAAGAATTGTAAACAAGAAAATGACATTGTTATTTTTTCCAACATATTAAGCTAACATTCTGTTTCCCCAGGGGTGGGATTCAGAATAGAGGGATTTCTTGTAGGAATGATTCTTTGTCATGAGAATTGGTGATTTATATTTTGTCATCTTAGGGCAGCTCATAGTATTTGGGGCCAGAGCCTACGTGAATATATGTGTGTGGACAGTTCAGCTGCCATGTTGGATTTGGCAGAAAAGCTACTGAAAGGTGAGGACAAGATATAAGGAAGGACTTTTCCAAATCTGAAGGCGTTAAGGAAGCAAAGGAATACTAGAAAGGGTGTTTTATTCAGGAATCAGGGAGAGAGCTAAAAGTTAAAGATGAGTCTGGTCTCTTTCCAATGTTATGGTCAAGCAGAGGGTTGTGAAGGCCTTTGCTGGACTGTGGATGGGTAAGAGTAACAGGACAGGTTACCCAGTATTCTTCCTGTCCTTTTTTTTTTTTTTTTTTGTTACAGATGTTTCTCCTTTTTCACCCCATTGGCACCCCCGCCCCGTCCCCAGCTTTGTTGTCCATGTCTATTGGTTATGTATACATGCATATAAGTTCTGTGGTTTATCCCTTCTCACCCCCCCACCCCCTCTTCTTACTGTCCTTTTTATATTTGCTTACCCTATGCACTTACTTTTACCTGGCACTTTTGTTGTTGTTAATCCTCACCCAAGGATATTTTTTCCATTGATTTTTAGAGAGAATGAAAGGGGGTGGGGGGACATCGATGTGAGACAGAGACATCAATTGGTTGCATTCTGCATGTACCCCATCTGGGGCTGGGGATCAAACCTGCAACCCAGGTACATTCCCTTGACCGGGAATCAAACCCATGACCCTTTGGTACACGGGCCTATGCTCTGACCACTGAGCAACATCAGCCAGGGCCTTAGCATTTTTCTTTATTCTCAGGGCCATGTTTCTTATCAGGATAGCACTTCAATTTATGCCTATACACCAGCCATTTCAGCCATTTTTATCATGGCATAAACTAATTACTAAAATTTAGCAGCACACTGAAAAAAATAGGTATAATTTTGATTCATTCACACCAGACGGCTATTGTGTTGGCTGTCATTTTTTTATTTGACCATCTAAGGGAAAAGAGGTCAGTGCCCCTGAGTAAACAGCCAGGTTTTGCATGTTTCAAACATTCTTGTGGTGCACCAGTTGAAAATTGCCGCTATACACTCATAGTTGCCACCCTTCTGCTTTCCTCCATAGGTGGTTCAGAAAATGGGGAGCCGTATGTTCCAGGTGTCTTTTTCAGACAGTTTCTACCTGTATCACCCAAGGTAAGTGGCAATGTGTAGAGTATACTAAATTTTGAATTTGGCGGATGGAAAACTGTCCTCAGCTTTGCAACCCAGCACTGAGTGTAGGGAGATAAAAGACAGCAGAAGAAACGTAGGGAGATAGAACTTTATTGTGCTCTTGGATGCCGGAGATGGTAGGTCTGTCACATTCCTTGTCTTGGTTTCAGGTACAATTCAACGTGGTGGTGTCAGCCTTTTCCCTTAGTGAGCTGCCTAGCAAGGCTGACCGCGCTGAGGTAGTCCAAACCCTGTGGCGTAAGACAAGTGATTTTCTGGTGAGTTTAAATCCCTGTTTCCTTTCAAGTTTTAAAGCAGCTTCATGGTTTTCATGCTTTTCCTTCTCTACATTGGAACTTATCTTCATTCTCGACCTTTTTTCCTCCTACATAGATTCCTTTGTCCCTCTTTTAGGATCACCATCCCCATCTCATATATATAATGCCATTTCCATTTGTAAATGCTCTTACAAAGCTACTGACATTTGCTTTTTTATGTAATTTGGGGCTTTTGCTCATTTTCCCCTTTTTGAACAGATACTGGTGGAGAATGGAACAAAAGCTGGGCACTGCCTTCTCATGGAAGCCAGGGACCTGGTCCTTCAGGTAAAATTCTTTCTTTCTCATACCCCCACCCTCAATTACTGGTGCTCCCCTGAAAACTAATACAACTAGTATACAAAGGCAAGAATTGCTCTCAGGATAGTAGGCATATGAAGTCATTATGATATAGGGTGGTATTTGGCAAACTGGGGCCTGTGGATCACATCTGGTCTGCCCCCTGTGTTTGTGTGAGCCAGGCTTATTGGAGTGTCTGTTGTGCATAGCTGTATTTGTGTATTTGTATGCCACACTACAAATGGCAGAGATGAATAGACAGATTTTAGTCTACCCTCGGAGCCTTTAAAATAAAGTTTGCTGACCCTTGATCTAGGACATTGCTGAGCCAAGAACATAACCTCTTTGGAATTTCATGAGCCAGGGTATAATCATGAATTTAATTGTCCTGTAGTGGGATTGTTTTTAGAGTGGAGGTTGCTGACAAGGAGATCACCATCCTATGTGCCAAATTCCTGCCTTTCTTCCGCTGCAAAAAAGACAGTTCTTTGTTTGGAGTATCAGAGAAGTAGCCAGTTTAACTCAAAGAACATAGCTACTAATTACCAGAATTGAATGTGAAAGGAGTCCTCAATTGACAGGAGTGCAGAGATTGACTTATGAAAATAGTCCCCTCAGGCCCAGCTTAATTTTTTTATTTCCTTTGACTTCAGGGAAAGGAGAAGTCACCTCTGGACCCTCGACCTGGTTTTGTCTTTGCCCCAGTGAGCACTACTTCTACCTTTCCCAACATGCAAAGATCTGAGCTCAGCTGTGGCCAGGACAAGTGAGAGGGCAAAGCCAAGCCACCCTCCACTGCTTAGTGTCCCTATCTGATTCTTAGTGGATCCCCTGCTCTTCCTACCCCCTGCTCCTGTGCCCCCTTATCCCTAGCCCTTCCTGACCCTGTCACTCTGAGTTTCCCCATTTTATGATCTGTGGTTCTTTTGTCTGACCTCATGTCTTTTGTGTGTGTTTACAGTGTCCCCATGAACTTCCTTGTCCCCAGTTGACAGCCTCTAAGCCCCTGGCCTGTAGCTTTTCCCAGGCTTACCATCCCATCCCCTTCAGCTGGGTATGTACCCTGGGAATATTGCAGCAGGGAGGAAATAGCTTGTGGAAAACAGGATGAAAAAGAATCAGGTGGGAGGAATTGGAAAATTCAGAGAATAGCCTGGAGATTGTAGGACCTGATGTGCATGGCATATATGAAAAGGGCTGCAGGAATGGGGTCAAAAGAATTTTCTCCCATATCTTTTCCCCCCAAAACAGTCTCTCATATCCTTACCTTAGAACAAGAAGCCAAAGGAGGAAAAGTTCTCAATGGTAATCCTTGCCCGGGGGTCTGCAAAGGAAGCTAGTCGCTGGCCCCGGATCACTCAGCCTGTCCTTAAACGGCCACGCCATGTGCACTGTCACCTGTGCTGCCCAGATGGGCACATGCAGCATGCTGTGGTCACAGCCCGTCGGCATGGCAGGTACAGTGACTGTGACCAAAATTACTGGGCGGTGACAGGAACCTACACCCACATTAACCTCTCTTTTTCATAGGGATTTGTATCGCTGTGCCCGTGTCAGCTCCTGGGGAGATCTTTTACCTGTGACCATGCCATCTGAGCTTCCTCCGTCCCCTGCTGAAGGTCCCCCTGAGAGTTGACAAGGATATGTAATGAGTTCTCTTGTATCATGCCTGCCAAGGCTAAAGCTACCTGGTATCCAGGAGGGAGTGCTGATACCCCTGTATATCTGCATTTGTTTGAAGTTTTAATAATTAAACGTTTTCAAAGAATGAAAACGGATCTTGTGATTCTTAAAAGGTATAGAGGTCAGTCATCATCGGCCGTCATATAATGAAGTGAGACTTCAGAGTTTCAGTGCCGGTTTTCCCCCACAAATCCCAAGCTCACCCTCTCCTGTAAGAATACTGCTGCTTCTACCAGAGATCAGGACTTAGGGAAGTAATCTGGGGTAGTAGGGAAAGCCGCCCACAGCACTCTGAGAGCTGGCCCAACAGGTCTCACAGTTGTTAGCCAGGCCACCTGAATAGGTGACCAGCAGCTGCCTATCCTCTTTTTTTCCCTCTCCTTCCTTTCCTTTCATCTCTCAGGGTTCATCAGCTCCCAGTGTTTACCTCTTGAGTTTTCCTCAAGAGTTGATCCCATCAGGTCTGAATCTTCCATCTCCACCCCCGTATGTCCACTCAGGGTCCTTCATTTACTGAGTTTATTTCTGTTTTCCCCTAGGCCTTGCTATTTCAGACCTAGAGCAACTTTCTTAGTATTAAAACTCTCAGTCCTTGTCCCACAATATTTATCAGGAAATAAGCACAGTCAGAAGTGATAACAGTTTCAGTGTTATAATACTAGAAATCTCAACGCCCGACTAGACATTTCCATACCTGGAGCTATTTTTCTCGGGTTACTGGAAGGGGGAGTCCCTTCTATTTCCCTGAGTGCTGGCAGCACTACTCCTCAGCCCCACCTCCTCACCTGCAAGTGGCCCCAAATCCCTTCTGAAAAGGTAAGGTTCAGGTATCCTCATAGCAGCCTATAAGACTTGCATTGGGCAGAGAGGGTGTGGAAGGCTTAGATCAAATGTCTTGAGTGAGTCAGGATCAAATTGTCCCCAACACAAAATAGCTGGGAAGTAGCTACCATAGACTGCCATTTTGTATTAGACCAGCCCCAGGCATGAATTAAGACAGCCCAGGGCCCTTGGATTAGTCATGGGACTGAAGAGGAGAAAGAGTACAGGGCTGTGCCTGGCAGGGAGTCTGGAGTTTCTGGTTTTGGTGTGAGCCAGGGGAGGGGCCTCCCTGAAGGGGGAGGGCTGGAAGCCGGGGCAGGGCCCCAGTCAGCTATGCAAGGCTACGAAAGCAGGCAGCACAAAGCAGAGGATCCAACAGCTTCCTGAAACTCAGAGTGGACACTACAGCTTTGACCATCTAAGGCACCACTCCTGCTCCAAAGCTTATAACTCCATTTGTCATTCTGAGGCCTCTGCTCATTCTGTACCCTAAGGATGGAGCCAGTACTAGGAGTAAAAATTGGCTGCCTGTTTGCCCTGCTGGCTCTCACCCTGGTCTGTGGCCTTATTCCCATCTGCTTCAAATGGTTCCAGATTGAGGCAGCCAGAGGTATAGCCCTTCGGCATCTTTCCCCCCATAACCTAAGTCTGACTCCACCCTGTCACCCTACCCTGACACCTTGCTCTGATCCTCTTGCCATCCCCATGCTTGGGTACTGGGTGCTGCCTGTTGCTCTTCAGTCATTTTTGTGTGTCTCATTGCCAGCTGGACTGTAACTCCTACTTTTCATTAGGTCGTCACCGCTGGGTCCTCAGCCTACTGGGCTGCATTTCTGCCGGTGTTTTCCTGGGAGCAGGGTTCATGCACATGACTGCTGAAGCCCTGGAGAGAATTGAGTCAGAGATCCAGAAGTTTGTGATGCAGGTGAGCAGCTGAGGTGCAGGCCTGAGGGGCCAGAATGATGAGCAGAACCAAAGGGAGAAAGGGGGAAGTGATGGAGCCAAGGACATGGGTGGAACGACAGGGAAGGGGACAACTCTTGTGTTATGTGAATGACAACAGGTCAGGCTGCACTTTAAGGAAAGCAGTGGAGCTGGAGGGTCAGGACAGGACAGGAAGCTGAGCTGCTCCATCCCCCATTTAATTTCTGCTTTTTTCTCCCTAGAACAAGACAGAGAGTGAGGGTGCTGCTAATTCAGCTGATGTAAGTGTCTCCCACCGCTGACCTGGGGTGAGGGGAACCAGAGACTCCTCACACCCAGACCCTTTGAGGAGAGGACGTGAGGAACACCAGGAATCCCTCTGCCCCTCCGTCAGACACTGCAGGGAAAGGAGGAGCCAACTCCGTCCTTTGGGGTTTACGGAACACCAGACAGAGCCCTTGCTTTGCTCTGTCCTTCTTTCTCTGGACCCTTAGACAAGCTCCCCATCATTTCAGCCCTACTGACACTGCACCCTTGGCCCCTCTGGTTTCCTTGTTGCATGTTCATGTCTCCTCCGGGCTTCATCGCCTACCCTTTCTAATGTTCTAGCCCCACATTTCCCGTTCTCTCCAGTCTCCCACCCCACCTCTGTCCCCCGGACTTCCGTCCTTTCCCGTCCCACAGCCCCTCTCTCTGTTCCCAGATGGACTATCCCTATGGAGAACTCATCATCTCCCTGGGCTTCTTCCTCATCTTCCTCTTGGAGTCGCTGGCATTGCAGTGCTGTCCTGGAGCCAGTGGAGGATCAAAAGTGCACGAGGAGGAAGTGGGAGCGGCTCATGTCCTTGGACTCCACAGCCATGGATCTCTACCCTTACCCTCTCGGAGTCCCTTTCGAGTCCTCGTCCTCTTGCTCTCACTCTCCTTCCACTCGGTGTTTGAAGGGATGGCTGTGGGGCTGCAGACCACAGTAGTAGCTACCGTGCAGCTGTGTCTTGCTGTCCTGGCTCACAAGGGGCTCGTAGTGTTTGGCATAGGACTTCGGCTGGTGCAGACAGGCACTGCATTACGATGGGCTGCGCTCTGCATACTGACATTTGCTCTCATGTCCCCCCTGGGCCTCATCCTAGGGCTGGCTGTGGCTGGAGGAGACTCTGAAGGGGGACGAGGCTTAGCCCAGGCTGTGTTAGAGGGGGTGGCAGCTGGCACCTTTCTGTATGTCACCTTCTTAGAAATTCTGCCCAGGGAGCTAGTTGGTCCTGAGGCCCCTCTGATCAAGTGGGGCTGTGTAGCTGCTGGTTTTGCCTTTATGGCCATTATTGCTTTGTGGGCCTGAGAGATTCCTGACTTTTCTGATGGACCCCAGGAGACACCTCCCATATGGCTCTGGCCCTCAGACACTTCTCCACTGAGACTGCGTGGCATTCACTAGACATCATCCCCATGAACTAGGTTCCACCTTTTCCTAAGTGAGATCCCACTGCTCACCCAGGACCGAGAAAAGGATGTATATTTAGGTGAGTGCCGATACACTGGAGAATTGATGTAAAGACCATCACCCCAGATTTGACTCTTATTCCATTTTTGCTACTGTGTGCAATAAAATGTCCATTTTACCTCCTCCCCCTTCAAGCATGCTCTACTCCGTTTCTCCGGGTTACCCAAGAGCCACCTAGTGGGGTGGGGGGTGGGAAAGGCGAGTATAGGATGCAGTCTTGTCTTCTGGAATCAGAGCCCTGAGCCATTTTGTCATTTGTAGCCATGTCCCCAGATGTGGGAGCATTGCTGAAATTCCAGCAACCTGCTCCCCCCTTACCCACAGGTGTTGAGAAACTGAGCCAGAATTCCCAGCAGTTAGAGAAGAGGAGGTTTAAAAACAGAAACCAGCCCTGGCCAGTTTGGCTTGGCAGTTAGAGCGTCGGCCTGCGGACCCAAGTATTGTGGGCTCAATTCGGTCAAGGGCACGTACGTCAGTTGCAGTTTGATCCCCAGCCCAGGTCGGGGTCATGTGGAGGCAACTAATCGATATGTCTCTCTCTCATTGATGTTTCTCTCTCTTTCTCTTTCTCCCTCCCATTCTGTCTGAGAATAAATGGAAAAGTATCCTTGGTTGAGGATACTTTATAAAAATAAAAATAAAAACAGAAACCATGGGGATCTAGATGTTTTCCTACACTAACCACACCTACCCCACTCCCAATACCTGGTTGGTCGCGCGGGTGGCATGTCCAACAGACTCTTGGGATGAGGCTCAATGGAACCAGCTTCCACCTGGTTTCTATTTTTCACACTGAGCCCTGGGGGACATGATTGCTCATCTTTGAGCTTCTGTCTCCTTTCAGCTGCCTTGTGCTGCGGATTAAGAAGCAGTGTTTGGAAGGGAAAAGGGCGCCAGATAGATTCCAAGGGTGATTGCTTGGCTCTGCTGCGACACGGTGGCCTTCCTCTGCCTGCCCGCCTGCCACTCTGCCTCTGGCCCCTCCCACTGGGCTATTTGTCTTTCAGGTGAGTAACCCCTACAACGTGTCACTTCTCTTAATAACTGCACTAATACAAAAACCGATTATCTGGAATTGAGGAGAAGCAGGATAGCTGCTGCCCAGCCCCTGACCCATGAGGTGGAGGAATGTCTCAGACTTGGTGGACAGACAGGGAAAGAGGTGTGCCCGGTGAGCTCAGGCACCCCCACCAGTCTGCCCCTTCAGATACTCTCAGTGTAGAAAGAAGCCCAAGAGTCAGTCCTTAACATAGGCAGGTCTCCAGAGTTTCATTCTTGTCTCATTTCATTTCTGTCTTCTGTCCTCCCCACTACCCTCCCCACAAATTAAGATTTATAGACCTGCCCTGGCCGGTTTGGCTCAGCGGTTGGAGCATCCGCCTGCGGTCCGGAGAGGCCCGGGTTCGGTTCCCTCTAAGGGCATGTACCTCGGTTGCAGTTTGTCCCCGGCCCTGGTTGGTCGCGCGGGTGGCAGCCACTCGATGTGTCCCTTTCACATCGATGTTTCCCTCTTTCTCTCTTCCTCTCTCTCCCTCCCACTCTGTACAAAAAATGGAAAAATGTCCTCGGATGAGGATTAAAAAAAAAAAAAAGATGTATAGACCTCCTCACCAGCCCAGCTTACATACCCAGGGACCAGTGAGAAGCCAAGCTAAAGGTAAAACTAAATTAAAATGTCTGACCAGGAAATAATTTCCCTAAATCACCATTCTATTCTGCTCCCCTTCAGTGCTAAATGCACCCACACGTAACACTTAGGGCAGGCCATACATTGTCCTAATAATAGTTTCCACAGTGAGCACACCCGTGTGCCAGGCACTCTGCTATTGTTTCCACATCTATTATCTCACCTTCCCAGCCCTGCCAGGTACATATTATCCCCGTCATAAATCCAGGGAAGCACACTCCGACATTAAATAACTTGATCACATAACTAACTGGTTTCAAACCCATGTTTCTGTGATGCTAAGAAAAACTCAGTATATAGATTCTCTTCTCCCTACTTTCCCTTCCTCATCTTCACCTTACCTGTGCCTCTGTCTTATATCTTAGGGTTTCAGGAGAAAGCAGAGAGCACATTGTTCAATCAAGGGAGTGTGTAGAAGGTGTGGGCAGAGTTAGGACAGAGCAACAAGTGATGGTGCAATGTCCTGGACCTGAGTAATAGCAATGCTGTTGCCTAGGCTGAGGGAAAGAGCCATCGAAACTTGGGAGCCATTGAAACTCGAGAGCCATTTACGAAGAGCTGTGGCCTTTGGCAGAGGAATACAACCAGCCTGCAGGGGCTCCACAGAAGAAAACCAGAGGAATACCTTCTATTCCTGGATCTACTGCATGTCTCTTACTGGCCACACCCAAACTAAAGCCAAAGGATAAAAACGTCTGTTGGTGCATTCCCGATAGCCCAGCCTGAGGAGGCACATCACAGGTCAGAGGAAACCTGGAGGGACCAATGGAAAACATCCAGCATCAGTTCTCCTCTGTTTTCAGCTTAAGTCAGTGGTTCTCAACCTGTGGGTCATAACCCCTTTGGGGGTCGAACAACCCTTTCACAGGGGTCGCCTAAGACCATTGGAAAACACATATTTCTAATGGTCTTAGAAACCGAGACACTGCTCCTCTATCCGTCTCCAGGCGGGTCCGCCCACATGCAGATATGCCCACATACAACATGAGGAACTATATTCAAGGGTCGTAGCATTAGGAAGGTTGAGAACCACTGACTTAAGTGGACACTCAGAGGATGAAGTGGAAGGGCCATGATTTTATGGACATTAAAGGGCTATTTCTGGTACAGATGAGTTTTATGATTATAGAAAGGAGACTTGAGGAGACATACATTAGACTCCAGGGCTCTTTGTGTGTTCCTGGGTCACTGATTAAATCGGCATTTGAGGCCACTGATCAGAGGTCAGGAGAACTCAAGCAGAGTGAGTCATGCATTTTGCCTCCTCCCAACTGGGAGCCCTTAGATCCCCTTTTAGGCACCTCTCCTTTCAGCCATCAATGCTTGCTTTCTTTCCCACAACCATTTCCCTTTACCAAGATCCTTACCAACCAGGACAGGAACCATCTTTAGTCCAAGCAATACTATACCAACAGCTGGGCTAAAGCTAGAGCATGGCTCTGCAAAGAGAACATCAGGATCAAGAAGAAAAGCAAACTTGATTATTTTCAAAAGATATGAATCCCCAACAAGGAGCCAGAAAGGGCTATAAGGGAGCAGAAGATGAATGTGATTTTTAAATGAGATTGAAACAAGGAAGGATGGAATGAGAACCACGGGACAGGAGGAAGAGCTAAGTTTGCTGGAGCACAGTGACCAGAAGCCAGTACCAGGAGTAAACTTTGATTCAGCCTTGAGAGACAGGTTGTAACTGAAGAAAATTAGGATCATGAGAGTTAATAAAAACAGGAGGGAAGGTATGTAGGATGGGGAAAAGGATAAGAGGAGAAGCTAATTGGAATAGTCACAAGAAAATTTATGTGGAACTGTTTTGAAGTCTCCTCAACTTCTGTGCCCCTTCCCCACCCCTCATTCTCCACCCCCCACACAGGTATTTTTTATATATTCAAACAGTAAAAAATTAGACCTCGAACTGGCCTCCTGCTGAGCCAGGTTTTCATTTTTGCACCAATAAGTGGCTCTCTGAAGTAACCCTTCAGAGCTCCCCGCCCTCCTCTGCTTCCATGTGGAAGGTTATATGGTTGTAAGGTTGCAGTTGTAAGATGATAATATGTGAAGACTAGGAGATAGGGAAATGCGCATCAAACAGAAACCAGAGTTCAGCAGATATACCAGAGCAGGGTGGGGAGTCCCTCAGAAATAAGGTACGCACGGGACAAAACCTGAAGAACTGCAGACGATCTCTGGTGAGATCATTTGTGTCTCTCCCCTGAAGGAGTTTTCCAGGGTCTTGCTTCCTTCACAAAAGGACACTGTTGATCACTTCTGGCTCTGACAGACAGAATATAAGGTCTGGCAGCCAAAATTGGAGTGGGTTGGTACCCTCACACACCCCCACTAACCTAATGGAGGTGCCCATGGACACTACCAAAGGTACAGAAATAGGGGTGCAGACAGAGGTTACTCCCCCAGACCCCAATCTGTGGGGATGCTTAGAGTTTTTTATTCAAGTTTGTTCTGAGTTACTATCTTCAGATTTGTTGAATGTCAAATACATGAGGCATTCTACTTTTGCTGTCTATCCATCCCTCCTGCTAGTCTCACTGTGTGTACTGTCAAAGAATTACCCTTTCAAATCTCTTCATGAGCTCCACAGTTTTCAATTGGACACCACAATGCTCTCATCACTGCATTCTTCGGTTTTATTCTCCTTCCCATTGAACCGTCTCTTAGCTATCTCGGATTTCTGTCCCTAAAGTCGGGAAACACTCCTTGAGATAGAGAGGAAGAGAGAAACAGGAGTCCTAAGGCTGAAGCAGAGACAAAAAGTAAGGAGTTTGTAGTTCAGCTTCTGTAAAGTCACCCACCTCTCCTCTGATCCTCTAAACTCTGATCTTGAAAATGGGCAGGAGCCACCGACTATGGTATTGGGCCCTCCCTATGTAACTACTGTGCAAAATCACGAAGAACTAAAGAACCTTGGGAGACTCAGGAAGAGAACCAGGAACTGGGGAAAGTTAGGAAGAACCACAACAACCACAGGGGGGCACTGCACCCCCATGGGCAGGCCTGGAATGTCTAAGACTAACAAAGAGGTCAGTCAAGGACAACAAACCCCTCTCCCTTGCTCACAGCAGAGAGCATCTCTCCCTCTACCCAACTCGGGCTTCGTATGCAGGGACATCTATAGGAGAGAGACACAAGGTTACCACCTATTTCACACACCACCCCATGGCAGGTACGGGGACACACACACACATTTTACACAGAATTGGATTTTCTCCCTCTTTCAAAGATTACCCTGCTAGCCCTGGCTGGATAGCTCAGTTGGTTAGAACATCATCCCGATACACCAAGGTTGCAGGTTTGATCCCTGGTCAGGGCAGATACAAGAATCAACCAATGAATGCATAAGTAAGTGGAACAAATCAATGTTTCTCTCTCTCCCTCTCCCTCTAAAAAAATCAATAAATTAAAAAAAAACACACACACACAATGCCCTGGCCAGTTTGGCTCCATGGTTAGAGTGTTGGCCTGCAGTCCGGAGAGACCCGGGTTCAGTTCCCGCTAAGGGCACATACCTTGGTTGCAGTTTGTCCCTGGCCCTGGTTGGGTCGTGTGGGTGGCAACCACTCGATGTGTCCCTTTCATGCCAATATTTCTCTCTCTCTCGCCCTCTCTCCCTCCCACTCTATCTGAACAAAAAAAATCGAAAAATGTCCTCAGGTAAGGATAAAAATAAATAAATAATTTAAA